TCTTGGTTTTTTTGACATTTAGCTGCAACCCAACTTTTGCGCTTTCTTCTTTCACCTTGATTAGAAGGCTCCTCAGCTCCTCCTCACTTTCGGCCATCAGAGTGGTGTCATCTGCATATCTGAGGTTGTTAATGTTTCTTCCAGCAATTTTCACCCCAGCCTAAATCGGCGACTCATTGCGGTTTACAGCAATTAAAAGCAATTAAAAGCAATGTACAATTTAAAACAACAACACGTTTTAAATCCCAACAGTTTCTGGGATTAACATAACTCAAACACCACTGGTGAACTGACACCAAATTTGGACAAGACACCTATCAGGCCAACGAGTGACCATGTACATATGTACCTTGGGAAGTCTGGCTTGGCCACGGTGGTCCACGCTTTGGTTGCATCCCGTTTAGATTACTGCAACGCTCTCTACGTGGGGTTGCCTCTGAAGACTGCCCGGAAGCTTCAATTAGTCCAATGTGCGGCAGCCAGACTACTAACAGGAGCGGGGTACAGGGAGCATACTACTCCTCTGTTGCGCCAGCTCCACTGGCTGCCAGTCAGCTTCTGAGCACAATTCAAAGTGCTGGTCTTAACCTATAAAGCCCTAAACGGCTCCGGCCCAATTTACCTGTCTGAACGTATCCTCCCCTATGAACCATCAAGATTGCTAAGATCGTCTGGAGGGGCCCTGCTCTCGATCCCACCAGCCTCACAGGCGCGGCTGGTGGGGACGAGAGACAGGGCCTTCTCGGTGGTGGCCCCTCGACTCTGGAACTCCCTTCCACTGGAGATCAGAACTGCCCCTTCTATCTTAACATTCAGGAAACAGGTGAAAACTTGGCTTTGGGGATTGGCATTCGAATGAGCCATGATCCTGTGATATGGATGGATGATGACGAATAATGATTTTTGATGACGACTGACCACTGTAATTATATGATTGTATTTTGCTATTTTAATGTTTTAGTGTGATTTAGAATAGGATGTTTTAATGACTGTCTGTAATATTGATGTTGGAAACCGGCCTGAGTCCCTTGAACGGAGGTGAGAAGACCGGTATATAAAACTGCTAAATAAATAAATAAGAGTTGGAAGGCAAATCCCAGAAACTTGGATCTCATGTGCACATGTGCTGTGTTGTTATTTACATGCAATAAGTAATAATAACAATAATAGATATTGTGCTAATGCTTCTTTGCAGGCGAGGGCACCCCGCTTGCTGCAGCCGGTGGCCTCGGGCCGGCTCCCGGGGCGCTACCAGTCCCACCAGGAAGGCCTGCCGCCGCTGCCGGTCCCGCCTTTGCAGCAGACCATGGAGCGCTACATGCTGGCCCTCCAGCCCATCGTCAGCGAGGAGGAGCTCCGCCACACGCGGGAGCTGGTGCAGGACTTCCTCAAGCCGGGGGGTTTCGGGGAGCGGCTGCAGAAGGGCCTGGAGAGGAGGGCCAAGAAGCACGAGAACTGGGTACGTACGTCCGTCCATCCGTCCGTCCGGGAAAGGGGCCTCCTTGGGTCGTCACCTGAGCAAGGAGTGTCATGCTGCAGCGATAAGGGCCAAGGCCATTCTAGGAAGGCATTGATACAAATATATATATATAGATGAGTCAGGCCTGGCTTGACCAATGGGAAAGGGATTTAGGAGGCAAGCTGAGGGTGAGCCAAGAGTGTGATGCTGCAGCAAAAAGGGCCAAGGCCATTCTAGGAAGGCATTGATACAAATATATATATTATAGACCAGTGAGGCCTGGCTTGACCAATGGGAAAAGCATCTAAGAGCCAAGCTGAGGGTGAGCCAAGAGTGTGATGCTGCAGCAAAAAGGGCCAAGGCAATTCTAGGAAGGCATTGATACAAATATATATATATTATAGTTGAGTCAGGCCAGGCTTGACCAATGGGAAACGCATCTAAGAGTCAAGCTGAGGGTAAGCCAAGAATGTGATGCTGCAGCAAAAAGGGCCAAGGCCATTCTAGGAAGGCATAGATACAAATATATATATATTATAAATGAGTCAGGCCTGGCTTGACCAATGGGAAAAGCATCTAAGAATCAAGCTGAGGGTGAGCCAAGAGTGTGATGCTGCAGCGAAAACGGCAAAGGCCATTCTATTTATTTATTACTTACTGCATTTATATGCTGTCCTTCTCATCCCGAAGGGGATTCAGAGCGGCTTACAAGATAGATATACATGCAATATATTATGTTATTAGCATAGTACAATATTAGTAGTTATTAGCATAGTATAATACCCGTATTAAATATTACTATATTGTAATATACCATTATATTGTAATATTATTAGTAATATTACATGTAATAGAAATATTATAATTATAATATCATATTATTAATATTATTATTATATTGCATTACATTATAATACTATAAATATTATATGCATATACAATATATTATATTATATTATATTATATTATATTATATTATTAGCATAGCACAGGAGAAAAAGTGGAATTGTCCCCTGTCCCCCTCTCTCTTCACTCGGGCCC